TCAGGGAAAAGTATTACATTAATTTATTAATGAATTGGTAATATACAAAAACGATTAATCATTTATAGATTTTTTGTAATTTAAGTGGCATTTCTATGCAGGCAAGCAACACAGCAGACTAGTTAATCTGTTGCTTGGACTTAACTAGCTATCAGATCCTTTGAGAAGAGAAATATTTACAATACATGGCTAATTTGGGGGGGGTGATCTTTTCATTTATCTGTGTTTCAATTCTGCTGTCCGATGATTGTGTTTAAGCCACCCAAATGCCCACGTCACAAGTACCTGTTAAAGGAAGCCCTGTCATCTGGTCGATATAACATTCAACCTGACTTCGCAAGACGAATGGGACCAGCGTCCTCATTCCAAGATGCCTTAGCATGTCTCTGGGGACAGACCTTAGTTGGAATGACCTCAGGATGAGTTCTGTCTGGCAGCTGGCCTTCTGCCTGAGTTACACATTCATCAGATTAGCCTGGATTTGCCTCAGTTCTTCAGTGTCAAAGAATACTTTGGGATCTACATCCTGTCATAAAATATAGAAAACCAACCTTGTTCTGCTGAGTTTGAGATCCTTCTATCTTCTTAAGGGATTGCTTCTGTCTACTGACAAGACCTCACCGAAAGATCTGGCCTAATAGCTGCACCAGGCATTGTTGATTCCGTATTCAAGTGTTGTGTTTGCTTTGGAGACACCCGCTCTTCTGCTTTACCCTTGCAACATGAATGCAGATCATACTGATTTTATGTGTTACAGAATTGGAGAAAGTATTTAATAAAACCTGTTAATTTTTATACTGGCAATAAAATGTTTCTACAGATATTAATGTTAACAAGACAAAATAAATGTCATGCAGCTTATTTTTTTAATACTTGTGTCTTACCAAATGGTTTCCTGTATACTTGGAGGTCTTGACGTAGTGCTCTGTGACACAGATGCACAAAAGGCAAAGCTGGAAGTCACATGGGAGTGACTTGCCAGAGGGGTTGGCTGGGACTAACAGTACCTTGACAGGTAGATCCAATGGAAATCAAAAGTTGGTTCAAACCCTAGCTGGGTTAATGGCCAGTACCTCAAGAGAGGGAGACACTGCTCCTTCTGGGGGCTTTCCTACTCCCCAGAGGGGCAGAAGCAGAATAGCACAGGAAGAGCACAAATGTGGCTTAAGGATGGGGAGGGACTAACGAGAAGATGCTCAGGATACCTGGATCCTGGAGACCTGCAACCTGTGAGGCTGGCTCTCCTTGGGATGCATGGAGAAAGAATTCACATCATACCACCAAGAATGTGGAGAGTGATGCAGTTTTTCTTGTCAACACATGTGGATCTCTGACCTGGAGGCTTCTGCTATATTTGCTGGGTAGCTTCTTCCGTACCACGACAGGGAGCTGGGATCAGGCCACTTCTGAACTCCAGCTTTGTAGGGCTGCAGGCTGTTAAACAGTGCTGTCCTGTGGGTCTCTGTTGGCTTTGAGGCCGGGGGCGGAAGGGTTTCAGCAGGCTTTGGGAGAGTGGCCTCTGGTCCTGGTCTGTGCTTATGCTTCTTAGTAGTTGAGAGGTTTATGATTCCTACCAAAAGATTATGATTAAAAAATAAGGTATGTGAGGCTGGAGGTATAAGTCAGTGGTAGAGTGCCTAACAAGCTTGAGGCACTGGGCTACATCTCTAGCACATTAAGGAATATGAAAACAGTGGAAAAACGGTCACCCAGCAGACCAGCAAGGGCATTCTGCTGCTCTTTGACCACTGGATGCCCTGGACCAGGCCATCTGGCCTGGGGTCAGATGAACCTGCTGGTGCTGCAGGTGTGTCTAAATCCAGGTTTGGGATCTAGTGCTGGTTTATCTCTGCAGATCAGTGATGCATGGCTCAGGTTCTTGAGAGTAAAAGGATGCTAATGGCTTTGACCATGTAGATTATAATGAAAGAATTGTATTCTCTGCTTTAGGGAGATGAGTAGGCAGGAATCCTAACACAGCTGTTGGCAATTTAGTTTTAGAATTGTTTTGTAAGAGATATTTGTCATGGAGGGAAAGAAGACAAGATGCTCCATGAAAAAAAAAAAAAAAGAAATGTCTTCTTTTTTTTTCACATGCCCCAAAGAAACACACACAGCAGCTTGATGAGAACCCTGGAGCTTCAGGGTCACTCCCCACAGACCTAAGGAAAGCTTCAGTAATTAGATTATTGTCATCAGGTCATGAGCTCAACTCATTTGTGAATAACCAACAGGTGACAGGTGCCTTGGCTATGTTCTTGGGCCTGCTCTTTGCAGGGGGAAGAGCGCATTCAGGACACTGCATCAAAGTTGAGCCGATTATGGTCTCTGACAGGATGAGGAGGGTGGAGAGTCAGGCTCGAGAGGCAGCCGAAAACATGTTTACAGAATTACTGACAGGTGAGCAGCTCTGGAGCGAGGCCCCAACTGCCATTCGGAGTACTGGAGTTTGGTCTGTGAGCTTGTCTTGACCATTGAAGGTTCTAGAATGTTCCAGAAGGCTCAGCTACTACAGATAGAAATGTGAGTTTTCTGAGAGTCACCAAGCTGGGAAATGGTCAGAATGACCAAGAGTACGGCCTTGGCCAGTACAGTAGGAAGACCTGGCAGGTGAGTTCACATGTGATTATACAGTATGGAAGGTTAACTGAAGGGGAGAGGCTGTGCAGATACAGGGAAGCCATAACTGTGCTGAGGTGCCATAACTGTGCCATAACTGTGCTGTGATACAGATGTTTGGAGAAAATCCATACGCCTGTAAGGAAGCCAGTAAACTCTGGTTCCCCAAAGTAGACCTGGGTGGAATTGTTACTTTGGTCTGTTGTTGATGTCCTATCTGGGGTGAGTAGACATTTGACCACGTCTCCCCTGGAAAAGTTTACACAATACTGAGGTGTTGAGCAATTCCATTCTTTTGCTCTTGGCTGACAGGAAGAAGAAGCCCCAGGTGATGCCAGGGATAGAGAGATTGTCTGGTGTATCTCTACCTCATAGCCCCAGGTTTCTTCCAATTACAGTCAAGGAGCCTTGAGCAGTCTGTGGGGACTGATGAATGTTCCATTGCTTATGTATGTGCACGCGAGTCCTTATGCAGCCTGTGTTTTGATGTTTATTTTTTGATGTTTTTTAAAGATGAAAGCAAAGTTTATCTTTTCTCACATTTCATTCTAGGAAACCTTCAAGTGACTTGGCAGAGGGCTCTGGGCAGGGACAGTAGAAGCCTTGCACATCTTGTCATTCCGAATAGAATCCCTTTAGCTCCTGTTTTCCTAGGGTTTTGAGGGGGAAGGTTGATTGGGCTCCTCAAAAATTGCCTTGCAGTCCTGATTCAGAGGATCATGTGAGGCATTGTATAGACAAGTGGGCAGGTAGACAGGGTCAATTATTGGAAAACTACAACTTCTCAGGGCCTGAGAGGCGGTGGAGTCCTGCCAGTTCCCAAAGTGGAGCCTCAGGCCATGAAGTACTTCAGGGACAGAATTTAGTTTAAAATATGTGGAAAAGTGACTTTTCTTTCTATGTTCAACTTCACTGTGACTATTCAGGCTCTTTGGTTACAGTTCCTTTGTTGAGGGTACTTCAGTAAATCTTGCCTGTATCCCTTATAAGTCAAAATGTATAGTATGATGTTCTTAAAAAGGGACACAACATATAGATTGATCAACTAAGAATGAAGGAGAAACCAGGTCTGGTGGTGCACCCTTGTGATCCCAGCATTCAGGAGGCTGAGACAGGAAGGTTCTGAGTTTGAGGTCAGCCTATCCTACATAGAGAGACCCTATCTCAAAAAAACCAAATCAGGATTAGCAAGAAGGCTCAGTGGGTTAAGGAACTTATCAGCAAGCTTGATGACCTGAGTTCAATGGTGGAAGGAGAGAACAGACGCCTGCAAGTGGTCCTCTGACCTACGTGTGCGCGTGTGTGTGTGTGCGCGCACACACACACACACACACACACACACAAATGTAATTTTTAAAAGCCAAACAAAAATTAATAAAGTTTTCTTTATTTGTAAATGGGGTGATAAATTATCCCTATGTCAAATAGTTTCTGAGTTAAATGTATTATCTGGGAAGGACCCAACATGGCACTCAAATATTGACTGCTCTAGCTATCATTCTGTCATAGTCTCTCTCTCTCTCTCTCTCTCTCTCTCTCTCTCTCTCTCCCCTCTCTGTATGAAGGTATTGAGGCAAATAAAGACTATATATATATATATATATATACATATATATATAAAAATCTAATTATCATTATAATTGCTAGTTAGTTGTAAATGTGACCAGGCTCTCTCTCTCTCTCTCTAACCTCTTTAAAATTCATTTATTATTGTGTATATGCATGTATAGGGGCATGCACATACTGTGGCACACTTGTGGAGGTCAAAGGAAGACTTTGTGGAGTCAGTTCTGACTTTCCACCTTTATGTGGCTTCCAGGGATCAAACTCAGGCTTGTGCGGCAAGTACTTTGTCCACTGAGCCATCTTGCCAACCCTCTTTTAAAGCAAACAAAACCATTTACTGTTCCTTAAATCATTGAAAATAATTATCAAAATCCTTACCAATCATGACAACACGTTTCTATAATGTTTAACCCATTACGTTCACCTCTTAAAAGAAATATTCTGTCTAGAAACAGCCAAGCATAGGTGCTCTGTCTGATAGTCAAGGGATTATCATCCATTTTGAGAATGGAACAGACCAAGCTTGGGAATGGACTAAGTATCATGATCCAAAAGCCAGACCAGATAGGAGCAGAAGTTCCGGTGTGGTGTTGTGAAAAGCAAGCCAAAATGAATACCCAGGACAAAGGGAAACCACATAGCTTGGAAAGGCTCTTCGAGTGGACATTAACTCGGGCCGTGTGGATAGACTGCCATGTGTTAGGTGGGGTTTGAAGAGGCTGGCATAAGCTGTCTTGTCAATG